CCAGCGCAAGCTGGACAGTCTAATGACTTTTTTAGAGACCTGGTTGTGTTTTTTTCTTGACGGTCGTGATGTCATTCTGATTGGCGACTTCAACTGCGTTATAAATACGCGAACCGATGTACAAGGTCTTGGCTGGGGCCGGTCTGCTTGGAATTCACGCGAACTGCGTCGCCTTGTCCACCACTTTTCATTACTAGACGCGCACGCTGTAGTGCACGGAAATACCTTTGTTTTGACATGGCGACGTGGACGATCCTCCAGCAGGCTCGACCGGGCTTATATACCACGAGCCTTAGAGGCGTTTGTCTCTGATTTATGCGTTCCGTCCTTCCCACCTTCTCCTGTGTACGTATCTGATCATCGACCTATTGTCTTGAAGCTTGAAGTTCCATTTTCTTTTTCGGAAAAGCCATGGCGTCTTGATGTTCGCGTCCTGCAGGACGTGCGCTGAAGATCAGATTTGTCACGCGCAATACGTGTGTCGCTCACGGCGTCTGGTCCTGAAGATTGGGATGCGCTTAAAACACAGTGGCGCCTGCGCTGCGCAGTAGAGGGGCGTTCGCTTCGTCGACGCGTTTCTGAACAGCTTGCTGATACTGCGATGAATTTACGCATTGCTTTGCGCGCCGAGACACCTTCTCCTCTGATGCGAGCGTGGCAGCGTGAACTGCGTGAACGCTATCGACGCTTGACTGCTGCTTCGTCCCTGGCGGCAGCAGCATGGCGCTGTAGACACAACTCATGTGCACATCCCGAGGTGCTGCGTTACGCGAGACATTCGTTTTTTGGGCAGTGAGAGCCATCTGTCTCTATGGCAGCACAAATACCACCTGCGCAGTGGCTTCCTACGCGTGATCGATCTGTTTTAATGGCGAATTTTGAAGCAATGTCGTGTTCGGCCATGCGGACTAACTGTGATGAAACACCGCCAATGCTTAGAAGTTTGCCCCGTATTCCTCAAGAAGCTGCGGATTGCCTGCTCATCCCTCCGTCGGCTGAAGAGGTAAAGGCGGCACTGAAATCTATGAAACGTGGAACAGCCCCAGGGCCAGACGGTTTTCCTGTTGAGTTTTACTTGACATTTTGGGATGACATTGGTGCTACCTTTACCGCGGAAATCCGGCGATGCTACGAGGACGGTGTCTTTCCATCAAGTTTTCGAGATGGACGCATTGTGCTTATTCCAAAGGGTGATGCTTCCTCTGTTAATCCTGAAGATTGGAGACCTATCATGCTCCTCAACGTTGACTATAATATATTCGCGGCGGTAGGCATTCAACGTTTGAGGGGTCTGTTGAACGCCCTGGTAGGTCATTACCAGACTTCATCAGTGCTTGGACGAGAAATACACAGCTTGTCATTTACCACACGGGATATCATAGCCTATATTCTGTCGCGATCTGCGCGCGGTATCCTTGTGTCTTTGGACCAGGAAAAAGCGTTTGACCGACTAGAGCACGCATATGTCCTTAATGTGCTCACAGCCTTCGGCTTTTTTCATTCGTTTGTGGAAATGATTAAAAATACGTACACTGGTCTGAAAAGAACACTAGTTCTGGATGGCTGGGAAAGTGCCGCCTTTTCCATAACACGTGGGGTCCGTCGGGGATGTCCATTGTCTCCTGTGCTATTTGTCGTCAGCCTTGAGCCATACTTGCGTGCTCTTGACGCAGATTCACGTGTCCGGGGTCTTGCGCTTCCTGGTAGCGGCGTTGTGAAAGTCACAGCTTTCGCTGATGATATAACCTTGTACCTTTCAGATGAAGATAATCTTTCACGCAGCCTGCGTGTATTTTCCCAGTATGGCGACATTTCAGGTGCAGCGTTGAACATCTCCAAATCCCGGTATTTCTTCATTGGCTCTCCAAACTCCTGGCTTAGCGCCGGTTTTCCCATTCAGCCGGCCGCCTCCCCTCCTATTTAGGTATTTTATACAACCACTACGGCATTTGCGAATCTGTTTGGTTAAACGCTCTCGAAGAAGTAAGACTGAAAATTCAGGATGCACGGGATTTTGACTTCCCACTTCTTGAGCGGAGGTACCTAGCGCAGACTGTATTTTGCGGTCGCATTTGGTACCTTTCTTACGTCTTGCAATCATCTTTACGTATCGTGCGATCACTGCAGTCTACTTTGTGTTCCTTTTTTTTTTGGTCAGGCGGCACTGAGTTGGTCTCTCGCGCGGCACTGGGACAGCAGCGTTCTCAAGGAGGCTTTGCTTTCCCTTCAGTGTCCATACGCTGTCGGCTGCTGGCACTGCGCTTCCTTTTGCGCCTAGTGCAAGGGGAGGAATCTCCCGCACGAACGCTTGCATATTACTTTCTGGGTACTCACCTTCGGCATTTGATGCCTAATGTGCAACTTAACAGGGGGCCGCAGTCAATAACACTTCCTGCGTTTTATGCAAACACTGTTGCATTTTTTCACCATGTCAAGTCGAGCTGTCCTGGCATAGATGTTTTGGACAACCACATAGTTGAGACAACTGCTGCTCTGTTGCTTCCGTTGGTCCCGCCAGTCCGCCGTGCTCGCTCTAAACGGGTGTGTTGGAGCACCTTAACGGCTTCTTTTCTGCCTGGACACCTCCGGGACTTCATGTGGCACCTGGGATGGGGTGTGCTTCCCACTCTCGACCACCTCGAAAGGTGGAGAATAGTCCAGTCAGCAACATGTCCGAACTGCTCCCTTCGGGAAACAAATCAGCATTTTCGGAGGCATTGTGTCATTGCTCGCGTTTTTTGGAGAGCCGTATATGCCGGATTTCACTGCCTCAGAGTAAATCGCTTCGTTTCTTCTGGGCGTTGTTTGCGAGGCCGCTTCGCTTGTCTTCTCATTGCTGCCGACTTTTTCTGCCTCTGGCGCAACCGCTGCGAGGCGGTTGCAGCGGGCCGCCGCTGTCACGCGCTCTACCCGATCCTAGAACGATTGTACTCGGAGCTGCTGTCTCTTTTGTCGGAGGAGCTCTGCTTCCTCGGTGAAGAGGAATTTCTGGGGCACTGGTCTTGCCCTTTTGTGTCGGTCTATGACGGACGATTGAAACTTGTCTTTCGGCCGGCCTGGTATTGGTAGGCTGATCTGCCGATGCGCCGGCAAAAATGGCATGCCAACATGTAAATATGCAAAATTTATATATTTATGTTTTATTTGTGTCTCTTGTTTACCTTGACGTATTTTTTGTGGTTGTGTTTGTGTGAACCATCGAATGTACATGTTCTTTCAACGTCATCTCATATCCATGTTCATGTAAATGACGTCTGTTTTGTCATCATCGTTAGAGTATGTCTAAGAAGGAAATGTTCTGTTGAGTGTTATTGACGTTTGTGGCAATAAATTTTTTCTAAACAAAAAATGAGATAATTCATGACGTTGTGGGAGCCATGTAACTGCACTTTTTAGCTGCTCCAAGAGAGTTCACAAAGGGCTCTCGAAAAAACGATCTTCCAGCTCTGTAGGGCACATGCCCTGCATGTTTCGCGTGGGTCTTTCGTTTTCAGTGCGGAACGTATTAAATGAATGCGCTGTCGTATGCTCTCGTACACTGTCATCGTTGTATGCTAGTGCAGCTTGGCGTGGCGCAGGCAAAGTATTATATAGCATAGCCAATTGAGGATTCGCCCATGCCAAAGATAACTTTTCTTCATCTTGTTCTTCGAGTGTCATGATGAGTGATGCCGGTGAAACTACATACAGCATAGCCATTTTAGCGTGCACAATTGCCAAAGAGAAGTTTTGTTATGGGGGGTAACAGCACACAAACTCATCGCACGAAGAGAAGGCACACAAACAAGCGCTGACTCTCAGCAGAAGATTTATTGAAATATGCAAATTGTCTGAGGACATAAGATAAACATACAGAACATGCGTCGAGGGGCCAGTGAGAGACCGTGCCGACGTCATTAACAATTTTCGCCGCTGGTAACTGCTCAGGCGCGACAAAAAATCAATTCAAACAAACATGCTTGTTCTTTATGTTTATCCTATGTGTTCAGATAATTTGTAAATTCCTAGTAAATCCTCAGTCAAGAGTCAGTGCTTGTTTGTATCGCTCCTCTTCGTGCCGTGAAAATACATGTGCTGTTACCACCCATAATATATCACCAACTAGCCCAACTATCAGTCTTGCTGCAGAAATCTTGGTTCCCTTGTTCTTCAACCATTTTGATATCAATAGATATAAAAAGAAATCTTGAAATAAAAACAAAAATGGGGAAAACAAGGAAGACTTGTGATAAGGAAAAGAAAACGTATAATTATCGTAGCAGCAAACTTACAAGCCATCGGGAAAAAAAACTATTACAAAGTGAAGTCTCACCTACCCCTTTAATGCCCGCGGGGCTGAGAATTCACCAGGTGCCTCTTCTTTCTAGTGAATTATTGTGTTTAGCAAAGAACGAGGAACCCTTATATTCTCTTTTACTTTAGTTCACTCTAGTATAGTTTTACTTTAGTTCACTCTATAGAGCGAAAGTAATATGCAGAAGAATCTTCCAGTCTTTGATAGCAAGACTTAGAGGGCACTGAAGGACATCTTACAAGAAACTGGAAAAAACCGATCCTGCACCATATTAATACATTAAAACAATTAGCAGCGAGCCAAGCAGTAAGTGAAGGATTTAATAGGATGATTATATTTCAACGTATATAAATTTACAACTGTTTTCTTGGTTCTTGGTTCGGCAGAAGAAGGTGTGTCCAAGACAAATTTTCCCTGTTTCACACAACTTGCACGATTACGTTACTGGTGGCACATTTACGTGCCACCGAAGGAAGTGTTACACGTATGTTTATTCATTGTAGCCTTCTGTTTTGAAGTTCATACCATAAATTAGCTTAACATTTTTGTTAAATTTGTGTACTCCTTTTGTGCGAGTATTTTCCCAAAATGACCATGAAGCTGCCAGGCGTAGACATTCATTCTGTTTGCTTTGGAACAGCGGTGCCCAGTAGAGTGATAATTCAGGAAGAACACTGACTCAAAAGACGTTATCATGACAACTACCTTCTTTGTACAACTGAAACCATTTATTTGGAAACGGTATTTCACACTATTCACAACTGAGCACAAGCTCAGAAAAATCTTTTTCGTGGTTTCGACGTACGATGTCCTCAGAAGAAATGAACGATTTCTGCAAATAGAAATGAACACACATGAGCGATCATGTTTTCTGCCAGTAAATAGAGCAGTCAGAATTGTTGCCAAATTCATATACTTACACTTCTTCCTGCGGAGGAGAGCGGTGTAGTCGAAGGGAGTGCCGAGACCATAGCCGTAGTTCAGGCCGTAGACACCAATGCCGTGGCCGAGACCGTAGTGGCCAGCGCCGTAGCCGAGGCCTCCAACACCATATCCGTAGACTGGAGTGGCATGGTAGGCAGCGAAGGCTGGGGCAGCATGGGCGACAGTAGCGACCGCTGGGGCGTGGTGGACAGTGGTGGTGGCAACAGCTGGTGCGGCGTGAACAGTAGCGACAGCTGGGGCAGCGTGAACAGTAGCAACAGCTGGGGCAGCGGCGAAGGTGGCGACTGGAGCAGCGTGGGCGACGGTTGCGACAGCTGGGGCAGCAGCCACGACTGGAGCAGACTGGACGACCTTAGTGACGGCTGGGGCGGCGTAGGTGGCGATAGCTGGAGCAGACTGGATGGTAGCAACGCGGGTGATAGCTGGAGCAGCGGCAACAGTAGCAACAGCTGGGGCGGCCTGGTAGGTCACGCGGGAGACAGCTGGAGCAGCGGCAACAACTGGGGCGGACTGGTAGACCTTAGTCACGGCTGGAGCAGCAAAGGTAGCGACCGCTGGAGCAGACTGGTAGGTGACACGTGACACAGCAGGGGCAGCAGCGACCACTGGAGCGGCCTGGTAGACCTTAGCCACAGCTGGGGCAGCCTGATAGGTGACCTGGGAAACAGCTGGGGCAGCAGCAACAACTGGAGCGGCCTGGTAGGTGGTCACGCGGGAGACAGCTGGAGCAGCAGCAACGACTGGAGCGGACTGGTAGGTGGTCACGCGGGAGACAGCTGGAGCAGCAGCAACGGTGGCGACGGCTGGGGCGGCGGCAACAAGTGGGGCGGACTGGTAGGTGGTCACGCGGGAGACAGCTGGAGCAGCAGCAACGACTGGAGCGGACTGGTAGGTGGTCACGCGGGAGACAGCTGGAGCAGCAGCAACGGTGGCGACGGCTGGGGCGGCGGCAACAAGTGGGGCGGACTGGTAGGTGGTCACGCGGGAGACGGCTGGAGCAGCGGCGTAGGTAGCGACAGCTGGAGCAGCGTGGACAGTAGCGACAGCTGGGGCAGCGTGGACAGCAGTGACAGCTGGGGCGGCGTGGACCGCGGTCACGGCTGGAGCAGCATGGTAAGTAGATACGACGCCAGAAACAGCTGGAGCGGCAACGGAATAGCTGGCGGCTGGTCCATAGGCAAGTCCGTGACCAAGACCAAAGCCGGTGAGGCCGGAGTAGCCGATTCCGTGGCTAAGACCATAGCTGGCGAGACCAACGCCACTGCCGAGACCAACGCCACCAGCGAGGCTGTGGCCGCCGTTGATGAATCCAGCAAGAGCGCTGGAGGCCAGGGCGAGGACGACGCAGAGGCGGAACTGCGTGGAGCAAATAATGTACAAAGAGCACTGTAAATATAAATAATTGTGTTGATATCAGTCGAACAGAGCGTTGTTGAAAAGAATGTATGTCTGCATTGTTTACTAGTCGCTGATTTTTCGTTACCTCTTTCAATTTTATAGGCCTCTAGTGGAGTCGTGATCACTCCCAAAAATAAATGTTAGACTTTCACACATGCAGTTAACCATGGGACTTGATACGTGTATGGTCTATGATGGCGTGGACATTGCGTGTCGGTCATCGAAAATTTCAAGCTTATTTGTTGAGTGTATGATCATTGTTATGCTTTTCATTAAAATATGATATCAAAAAAGAGAAAGTGAGTCATTTGGTTCGAACAGTTTGCATTTCGGGTTCCCAATACACGCACAAGATAGATAATGTGTCACCCGGGCCGGAATAATATAACGGTACTTTTTTCATGCTGACACATGATGATTAAAAGCCAATCAGTTGTTCTTGTATAGAAATGCCTACTCCGTGCTATAAAAGACTGCGCAGGCGTTGCTTGGTAGAATGTTATTGCGATAATCTGGTGAACTTGTAGATATTCAAGAATATATAAGTAAACATAACAAATGGGAATGCAGGTATTCATGTACATAGTTCTAATTACGGAGTAGGAACAACACAACTAATATGAAAAAAGAACTATCTTTACTATATTGCTTAACAGTGCCACCATGTGGCAGCATACATTGAACAAATCGACAAAAGCAACGCTATATAAAGAAGCAAAAAAAGGACAAATAAGCGTTGCTAAATTAGTACATCTCTCATGACGTTCAAAGACCGGCACTAGGATGTGCACAAACATTTTGATTCATTAGGGTGAACATAAGCATTTACGCTAAATTGATTTCCTATTTTATTATGAAATATCTTTGATATAGAGAAAAAACACCGAAGAGAAGTAACTTATCCTTTTGTTATATCGCGACGAAGAAGGGGATTTACCTGAAAGTTAGTACGTGCAATAATAGGTTGCACTTTCAGAGGATGATGAATCTGCGTGAACACGTGACTAGCGAGGCGGGAGGGAGATTGCCTGGCGTAGCCATCTGCTACGTGGTGATCCACTTTGAAATATTCATAAAAGTGGGAAAGATTAAGTGCCTCTATTTTTTCTAGGGAAGTCAGAGTAGCATTGCTTTATACTTAACTATCATAGACGTTTGCAATATATTTTCCGCACTGAAGATGGCTGCTCTATTTCGTATTGCAATGTATGTTTGTCTGACGATCAAAACCCTCTCAGGAATTCCCAGGCTTGGCGATGTAGCCGATAAACCAGAGCGTCAGTGAGTCATACAAGGTCGATATTGGAACACAACCCAGATATTTGCATTTTAAAGATTCCGATGAGTACGACTTTTGGTGTTGGCGGTAAGACTATAGACGGGCTCCAAGTGAGCAATAAAATTATCGTGCTTAAATCTTCAAGGTGACTGTAGGCCGGCTCAAGGCTGAGGGCGGTTCGGGCTTACCATGGTTGCTGCGGTAGTACCGTTGGCAATCCAAGGGCTGCTGAAGTGATGCAGGCTGCAATCCGCTTTTATACCCAATAGTGGAAAGAGTGAAAGCAAAAACGGAAAGAGTGCGGTGGTGGTGAAGGAAGAAAGTGTGACATAAATTACTCTTTTAACCGGAATTTCATTGTAATGTTGGGAAGACATAGCGAAACAGATCCGGTTAAGGGTTCGCTTTGCGTTCTATGCAGCAAGAATAACAAGGATCAGGCGCTTTGTTAAGAAATTTTTTTTTACATCTCGGGAAACACCTTCTTCGGAGGTGAGAGTGCATTCGCGGTGAAGCTGAGTAATCTTGTTATCCTATCCCGTTCCTCTCCCCGCCAAACTAGACAAAAGCGGTAGCGCAACAAACGCTCGCCAATGGGGAGGGTGGGGCCGTAACTGGAGAGAGGTGAGAGCATTTTTATGCGGATGGTCGTAGCGTGGATGTCTGCTCTATGGAGACATATATGCGAACCCTCAGGCGTCATGGATCTCGAGAAAAAAAAAAAGAGGGCACCGACTGGCTTGAGTTACGGACAGAGAACGTTCGGTTTCCCTCTCTGGAATTTACATCCGTGCTAGACTGTGCCAAAGGATGAATGAAGGAGCAATGAGAGCGTTATCATCAGTTTGTTGTAACGCTCTGAATATTTGGCTCTCCGGTATTCGCTGTTCCGAAATTCGTAATAAATCAATTTTGGAATGCCGTAATGGGCTTGGAGTTACATTAAGTGTGATATAAATGTTGATATTGAGAAGCGGAAAGCGCTATTGTTTTGTTCATGTAATCTATAAAAAAAAAGAGAGCAGTTGAACGTTTATTGGACAGGACTCCGCTGACGCGTACAGTATTGCGAGATGAAACGCGAGAAAGTGTACAAGGTATTTTTTTGTGTGTCATTTGGTACTTTCCATTCAGAGCAATTTGTTCAACGAACATTCTGCCGCGTTAAATCTTTTTAAGCTGTTATTTTTGTGAATAATCATCCTTCTTTTACGGCTTAGTTTGAATGAAAACGTTTTCTATCTTGAAATGTTACTACTCAATATATTTCCCCTAACTTTCTCTAATGCTGAATACAATATTTATAGTTTCATAAATACTTCACTTATATACAAAATAGTTGAGGCTGAGTGCATCAAAATAATTGGTGCCTCTTCTTATCGAAACTTTTCTGTAGGCATGCACTGTTTGCCACTCTAGAAAGCTCTCCGTGTGCTCGCAGCAGTGGTCGAAACAAAAACAAAACAAAAGAAAACAAACTTGGCTGCGACCTAAAAAGGTGAACGCGGCACTTTCGCTGTAGTTTCGCTTGGCGCTCTGCTGAAGTTTCTTTGTTGTGGTATCGGATTGCCTTGCTTTGTCTAACGCGAAAAAATGCTGGCCGCGTACCGGCTCATTCTCTTCGGCCTAGAATATTTGACTCGCGAAACAGCAGAAATATTTGTGCTGTGCGCGGAAACGCTGAGCCTCTTCGGAGAAGGGGGGCCACGGAGTGCGGCTGCACTTTGCATGGGCTCCTGCTTTTCATGCTGACTTTTGTGGTTCAACGCTGTGCTACTTCTGGGTTTTTGCGCTGGCCAATAGACCTCTCCCTGTTTGTAAATAGTGTGACGTCACTGCGGGCACCCCGCCCACCATACCCTCTCTCAGAGCAGCTGCTGGTCTTGCAAGAAAGTTCCTCCGGCGGCATCTTTCGGTATCTGCATTCCTTCGACAGAAATTTATACATTGCTATGTTCTAAAGTCACAGCTATTGAACGAAGGGGGTCGCGGAAGGGTCGCTACTCATAGTGGGGAAATTGGCTCGTCGTTGTTATATGGATGGATAAACTTTGTTTAGAGTACTGAGAGACGCGACTAGCATGCAGTGGGCTTCACCCGCGTAGATGGCCGCCATTAAAAAAGACACTCTGATCTTTTTCGAAAGCGGACGTTTTGAATGTACATGGTTACTGGCACTTTGAGAAATATTTGCATGACATGGATGTAAACTAATTCCATTTTCATTGTGGCATGTGCAATGCAGTTTTAAACGACGTACATCATTGGCGGCAGCATGGTTTCGAGCTGCTGTGCACGACGTCACGGTTAAGATTTTCACTCATTGCCCAGAAGTATGATCGGAGATGAATAAAAAAAAAAGAAACACTTCTTGCCGTGGGTTAGGCTGAGGTCAACATATCCTTGAGAAAATCAAAGTGACATTCTGCCGCTATGTTTTTCAATGACCCAGTGAAAATTCATGTGATGTAAAACCTGACATCCTAATGATAAATAATGTAATCTGGCACACTTACATTGCTGCATTTAACACCTATAACGTGCTTTCTTACATACATATTGCTACTTTAGGTCTGATACACACTTCTAATGTGCATTGTCACTTCACAAGAATCGAGCCTTAAAAGTACAAAGTATATAAGAAACAAAAATTACTGCTGCTTCTGTCAACCCGTATCAGGTACTCAATAATACCAGTTGTAGCCGTAGTGAAGCATATATGCTGATTCGGCAGCGCTACAACATGCTTATAGCTCATGCGTAGTCGTATATATCACCCAGAGATCATGAACGTTTATTTTTCTGCACGCCGCGCATACGCTGTGATGTACCTAATCCCAGATGATCGCGTCAAATGTACTTTTATATTAACTACAATGTCAGATTGTAAAGTTCCATCGACCAGCAGTTACTGAAACTGGGCCACAACGAATATCAGTGTTTTCACAAACAGGACGCATCGCGTTATTCTCACTGCACACACCACGCACAATATATCCCAGTTTTACCGTCCGTAAAGGTGAACCAATATTATCGATGCCTTTCAACGCACACTACAGGCCACAGCCAACACTGAACATTTTCGAAGGCGATGCCACTGTTACTCGCACAGGCCGCCGCGTGTGTTCACTTCTCCGAGATAAACAGCCAGCCAGCGTGGCGAATATTTCATCACGCACTTTATTACACACCTAGATTTTTTCTGACATACCACAGCTAATGTTGCCACTGTGATATGAAGATTAAGCTTTAAAAAAAAATTGACAGCATCAGTTTTCATCGGTTTGTGACTCTCCTTAGAAGCTGCGTGAGCTGGAAGACTGTGCGTTGAAGTCTAGGAAGCGTGGCGGCCCCTGATCCGTCGTGATGCAGATGCAAGCCGAGCATGAGAAGCGAGGTGACCTTCGGTATTTGGACCCCGTGAAGGATGATGCATGGGTCTGGTGCTTCGTAGGTTGGAGGTCTCCCTTCCGCGCGGGCTATGAGTGCAAGTAATTCCGATTTTTCAGATGCAAAATGGAGGCCGCAGCTTGCGAGGTAGTTCTCTATGACATTGACTGCCTCCTGAAGGCAGCTTTCTTGCTCTCCAGGGCCTCGAGTCCAAAGCGTAAGTAATATCGTCCGCGTAAATGGCGTGACGTAGGCCCTGTATTTTTTCGAGAAGCCGCGGTAGCTTAAGGAGTGCTACGTTGACAAGTAGTGGTGACACAACAGAGCCTGAAGGACAACAGGCCTGAAGGAAAACGATACCCTGAGAGTTGTGCAGGCACCTCTAACTAGCCGAATCACATATGGAACTCCGTACCTCGCTCTCCAGACATCTGAAGTCGATAAGCTGAATGTGCTCATCCGCAAAGCTACCAAGCTCGCCATAAGGCTACCTCCAATGGCGTCGACCACCAGACTCCTAAGAATGGGTATACGCAACATCTGGCAAGAGCTGGCAGAAGCCCAACGGACCAGCCAACTCGAGAGACTTATGATTACGACGACGGGCAGATCGGTCCTTGAGCGCTTGGGCTACATCTGCGAGGCAGAGCGCAAAAAGAAGATGCCGCCATACATGCGAGAATCATTTGCCATCGCCCAAGTACCGCGTAACATGCATCCCGAGTACCATCGGGAAAGACAAATCGCTCGAGTCATCGCCATCCGCAGAAGACAACAACACGATCCAGACGTTCGCTACATCGACACGGCAAAATACCCGGGCGAAATTGCCTACGCTTTAAGTGTGGTCGACGCAGTTGACTCGCTTGCTGGATTTCGGGCCGACCGGTCGTGCGCTCGCGCGCTCCGCGCGCTTGCGACCTCCGGCGTCAGCGTGGCTCTGGCCGACTGGGCTCGCCCTACGTCACCTCCTGCCGCCGACGACCTTCCACCTCCGATGACAGTGCAGCTCTGACTTACTGGACTTGCTCTACGCCATCCACCGACGCCAAAGGAGCTCTCGCAGGTGCGCCCCGTCCTCGGACTCCAGTGACCGTGCTCCCATCTTTCCTATCTCTTCTATCCCCTCATTTTGTCGTCGCTCGCTCTGGCTTACCACCTCACGTCTCTTCCTCTCTTCTCCTTCTTCGGCTTTCCTACATCTTTACTCCTATCCTTTTTATCCCTCCTCACCCCCATCCCTCGTGAGCTACTGTGACGGTGTCGCTCACTGAAGCAGACAATAACGGGGCTTACTTTTCTCTTCTTTTCTCTTTTTAAGAATCAGTTCTCTGTGGTCGACGCAGAAGGACAAGAGCTGGCATCCGCCACCATCCGAATGCGGAGCTCCGAGTCTGCCGAGCAAGCAGCGATCGCCTTTGCCACTACGACTGGGAAGGACGCGGTCGTAGTTTTCACAGATTGCCAATCCGCTGTCCGCAATTACACGCGAGGCCGAATCTGCGCCGAAGCTCTCAAAATTCTGAGAAAGAGCTGAACTCCGCGTCCTTACACCTGCGTGGTATGGGTGCCGGGGCACGACGGGCTCGAGGGAAATGAAGCGCCTCACGCCGTGCCCGTGGTCACGGCAACCAGGCCTGCCTCAGCGCCTCGCTTGACCCGCGGAACGAAACGGCCGTGAGTGCATCATGAGCGTGGCATGCAGCCATGTTCTTACACGACACGCAAGTCATGATTTTCCATGATTTTCATGTTAGGGCTGTCACTTGTGTTCGCCATGCAATCATGCCATACCTTACCAGTTTTGCAACACGCCATGTGAACGAAACCACCACAGGAGCTGCAGGAC